AAGGCAAGCCCGGGGCAAAGTAGGAGCTTTTCCCAGGTGCCAGCCTTAGGCTCCGACGTTTGGAAGCCCGTGGCTGATTGTAGGTTGCTAAGAGCTCATGCGTTTGGTCGAGGCCGCCCGTCCTCCCTTGATCGGATGTGTTGCTACAACAGGCTGCTTCGCGCGTACTTGTTGCCTTCCTTTGGTCCTAAACGGCCTCCGGTTCGGCGCTGTCGCCCTTTTGCGGTCCAGCAGAGCTTGGACCTTGTGTTCACCGGCCCTGTCCGGGAAAGAATGCCCTTTGCCGTCCTAAGCAGCGTGACCCATTATATCAGCTTGCTTCCTAGCAAGGACAACAGCTACTGTCCTCCCGTCCTACGGTACTGGTAATGAGTAAAGGCCGAACAGCTAGGGTCAAACACGGAAGGATCCTTTTGGCGCCTAAACAAGGTTTTGCAGTGCGTATCAAAATCCATCTTCAACGTGCACGTCACAGCATTTATACAGTCGCCACTGAGTTATCCTTGCATCACAAACTTGTATGAAACTTGCAAACAGGTGTAGCAAATCGTTCATGCCAATCTGTGCAGGTGCAGATAGCTGCTAAGCGCATGTGTTGCAGGTGTGCCATGTCTGTATCCTGCGATCTCTGTTAGGTAAACGCCCTGTCCCACAGACAGGACAGGGATACGGCGTGCGTACGGCATCAAGATTTGCTTGCAAAACAAAAGCGCTGGTTGCCTGTGCTTTCAGTATCAGTTCTCTCCTTTGTGCAGCAGAGTCTGATCACCTTACGAACATCTAAAATGGCTTTCGCTCTCGCCACCTCTCGCAAGGCTCTGCAGGTCGCATGCAAGGCGACCGGCAAGAAGGCCGCTGCTAAGGTCCGTTTTATTTCGACACCATTTATTTTATCAGCGTGCCTTACATAGATGCAAATACGCATTTGCAGTGTCCTTCCGCTAACCAGAGACGTTTGTTCCGTTCGCAACATCTTTACAGCCGGCTGCCCCCAAGAGCTCTGGTATCGAGTGGTATGGCCCGAACCGCGCTAAGTGGCTCGGTAGGTTATCCTGCGAAGAAGATCGGATATGCAGCGGGTGTAGCGCGTATCGGAGGGCCGGAGTAATCGGTCGGTCTCGTGCATGGTCCTCCTTTCGGCGCAACATGCCGCAGCGTCAGGTTTCTGTGCGCAGGCTGCTCTCTCGGTCCTTTGCTGACATCGCGCGATGCATGCTGCGATGAAGGGCACAGGTTGCGTCTTTCCCCCTTTCGCGACCTGCCGTTCAGTAGCCCGCTGCCGCCGCATGTCCGCTTTCCCCTTCTGTGCCCACATCGGACAGGCCCCTACAGCGAGAATGCCACCCCTGCCTACCTGACTGGCGAGTTCCCCGGTGACTACGGCTGGGACACTGCCGGCCTGTCCGCTGACCCGGAGACGTTCAAGCGCTACCGCGAGCTGGAGCTGATCCATGCGCGCTGGGCCATGCTTGGCGCTCTGGGCTGCCTGACCCCCGAGCTGCTGTCCAAGAACGGCGTGCAGTTCGGTGAGGCTGTGTGGTTCAAGGCCGGCGCTCAGATCTTCCAGGAAGGCGGCCTGGACTACCTGGGCAACCCGTCGCTGGTGCACGCTCAGAACATCGTCGCGACGCTGGCGTGCCAGGTGGGCGGGAGGGACGTGGCTGCGTGCTTAGGAATGCGTCCGGTCGCCTTACTTGTTAGCTGGCTAGGTGAAACAAGGTGGGGCGCGGCAACTGTGCTGCCAGCCCTTGACTGTCGTAAGCTCCCCTGCCTTTTGCGCGCTCTTACATTCAGCTTGGCTTTGGATTCCTAGTTGCAGCCTTGTGACATGTGAGCATTGTGCGCTACCGCACGCACATCCAGGAATCTGGGTGTCTCGTTTCCTATCCAGCTTGGTTTTATTGCAGCGTAACCCCAAGCGAGCAGAGACGACGCGTAAGGTGGCGTGTTGCTTATCCGTATTGACTGCTGTCTTCTCCCCCGCTCTCGCTGCTCACGTGCCGCGCAGGTGATCCTGATGGGCCTGGTGGAGGGCTACCGTGTGAACGGCGGCCCGGCCGGCGAGGGCCTGGACCCGCTGTACCCCGGCGAGTCGTTCGACCCCCTGGGCCTGGCTGACGACCCGGACACCTTCGCCGAGCTCAAGGTCAAGGAGATCAAGAACGGCCGCCTGGCCATGTTCTCCATGTTCGGCTTCTTCGTGCAGGCCATTGTGACCGGCAAGGGGCCCATTGAGAACCTGAACGACCATCTGGCCAACCCGGCCGTCAACAACGCCTTCGCCTTCGCCACCAAGTTCACGCCCAGCGCGTAATGTATCGCTGCTACGTTTGCTAGTCGAAGCGGTTGTCCGCATCTGCCGGCCGCTGCTGCCTTCAGCTACGTTACGTTGTTTAGCTATGTGAACGTAGACACAACATAACCAATAAACTGCCAATACCGGTATACGAGACGTCACATGCATAGCAATTGCAGGCAGTAGTTGCCTATCCGTCGCTGT